AAAATCTCTTGCTTTACTACATTTAATGGGAAAAATTAGCCCCAGGAGGATAAATTAACTATAAATTTGTGTCTTATTGATATTCTTAACTGATACTATTGTTTATTATTATTGTTTATTATTTTTTTTTTATTTTATTTTAGCGTCTTCCCAATTAACCATGGCATAGTTTAACAGATTCATTACAAAGTGTCCCGTCGTTGCTTGGTAACGGTCTCTAGGTCCCTCGTTCTGTAAATGACATGCATTATTCCAGAACAGCATACCCCATTCCATCCGCTCGTAGGTTTCGGTAAAACTCATGGCTGGTAGTGACGACCCAAATAAATGCAATTTAGATTTCATTGAATGTCTGCAACACTGCAAGCATATATCGGATGAGCATTTTGATGGACAACCCTACCTGCGGACATCTACGAAAGGAAGTATCAAGGTCCGACAATCGAACTAATCTTAGGTTCTGTAATGCAACTACCAACAATTAAAGTGAGACTAATTGTGAACAATTTGGAGACAGCCTTCGAGTTTTACAGTATCACAGCCAGTAGATATTCCACTCAAAATGTTATCCTGAACCAAAATGAACTGAATTCTGGAAACACTGCCACTCAACTGTAAGCTGGATCTTCCTTTGTATCTGCCCTTGGATCGGAAATGACCAAGTTAATGGAGATCCAGTGTAAATAAATTGGTGAATTTATTGCAAGATTCTGTATCCATGTTGGCGATCAAAGCTAGCTTAAGGCAGATTACTCATTTTGGTTATACACGAAAGCTCTTGTTTGCTATTTGCTGAAAGGTCAATTCACTGTTTCGTCGTTGCTGCTTGGAAATTCTATTCACCGGAACGGTTGATGAATTATGACGATGAGACACGCTAGGTCTTCCCAGTGGCTACTGGAACCATTGAATGAGAGAGATAAACAAAGGAACTCTGGGATAAGTGTTTAGTTTACTTTTCTGTAAAAGATGCTAGTGAATAATAGCTGCAGCATTTTAAAGCAGGTTTAACATAATTTTCGAAAAATTCAAAGGTTAATCCAGAAATCGTAAGGAAATGTGACACCGCACCTTATATTTTAATTTCCAACCTGCCTAATCAAGTAAATTCCATATACCTGTTTTAGTTTAACATTTATGCCTCAGATTGTATTGTATGTAGTCACCTGTTGTTTCGTGAGATAACGAGAGATAGACCTCTCTATTCTAGCTTCTTGCGTAATTCGTGTTTCCACCTTAATGCCTCGAATTCTGCCCAAGCACACAGACAAACGTGTCTATCCAAAGCTTGCTGACGGCAGACAAACATCTATGCAGTAATTGTTCTTCGTTACTAGATTCCATTTGGCTACCTCGGGATGCTACATGGAGATAGGTTGATTTGTAAGTACTAAAAGAGATTTGAGATGGCATTTGTACTTTCTAGCAATTGATATAAATGCAGAAGCAGGAACATATGTGGGATGTTGTGGTACCAAGTTTTTCAAAATTCTACTACATCTCATGGTGTTGACTTAAGGTGACCTAACCTAACTTTGGCATGAGATGGGGAATTTGTGTTAACAGGAACGAAATTATCCATTAAGTACTTAGAGGTATTTCTGTAATGCTTTGGTTATTTGTTTAATCCTTCATTTTGCTGGGCGGCGTTGTCTCTGGGCCATGCTAGTGGCAAACAGCCCGTCTGAGATACTAATTGTTCTACAAGTTAAAAGCCTCCACATCACTCATTTACGCTTTCTCAACATATCTTTAAGTGTAACTTCTTAGTTGTTAAAAGGCTACTAAGGCCACCAAGTCGGTCGCTCTTCTTAATCATAAATATGGCATTCGGGGCACTGCTGATGATACCTGAGTGCCTGGATGGCAGATGCGCATTTTCAAATTTAGGACATACACAAAGCTATGGTGCTACCTGTTTGTTTGAAAGCCATTGCAGCGCATATTGTGATGGAATGGGTAAGTATGCCTCATCTCAATGCTGGTGTCAAGGCTTTTAATAGAATAACAATTTGTGAAATATTGTGTACGGTTAAACATTAAACAAAGAAGGCGTGATGATGCCAATTTAAATGATGTGGATGATTATGGAGGAGTGTCATGATGGAAGAAGGGTGGAAGCATTTATCTTCATTCCTGTGAATCCAATCAGTGACGGGGTGTATGCTCAACCACGGTAGGTGCATCCACCCAAAACAAGGATCAAATTATTTGCTTACTGTAGAACGACAGCATCTGGATTCAACGGTTACAATTTAATTCTTCAAATGAAACGTCATAAATACTTTGTCTACTTCTTATCGAAGAATTTCAGACGGAATGTATACACATTCTTTGAGAATATTTTAAGAACTACTGCACAAAAAATCAGTTTTAACCTGACGACCCCCGTGTCTATCTCGAAATCGAATGAGGTCCTATTACTGGAACAGATGATACATTGTCTACGGATAGGAAGGCTGAGTGGCTACTGGAATGTCCCAAAGGGCATGCCGCTCAGCGTAACCAAAAGGAAGAGTTAAACAAACAACCGTTGCATTGCATTGCCCCTTTCATTTTTAAGTGTAGCCTCTAACAAATACTTTGGTTATCCTCCCGCATCGGCCACTACAATGTAGTCAGTCCTGTGATAAAAATGCCCACAAACCAATGACATCAGTCATCAAATTTGCACAGAAATGAAAAGATACTCTACCTAAACTATATTTGACCCTATTAGTGATTCCTCTGTATTCGAAATTTTGTCCTGCCTGAAAATTGCATAAGAGGAAGGAGAGAGGGATAATGTGTTGGCTATTACGAATGTTCATCTCAAGTAGTAAGGATACTCACCTAACAGCAGAATCATGTAGTAAATGGTGGAGTATAAGGTAGCTTTGTTGGGAATATAATTTTGCCACTTTATCCTCACTTCTGCGCTCCCCATCTATATCCATTCAGGTCGTATTTAATTAGTAGTGAGGTGGTGGAGGCAACTCTGTTCTCTCAGTCAACAGCATCATTCAGGTGTCAAAGTGTGCTTTTGAACGAATTTGTCAGGGGGTTTACAAACAGTGTCGCTGCAGTTGTTAACGGAATCCCTGCTAAAAACGGGGTTAGAACAATTTTTTGGGATGGACATCTTTTCCAGTCTTTTATTAAACCTGGCCACAGATTTTCCCAATAGTCACGTCAAGGGTTAGCATTACCATAGGGTAATAAGGATAGTTTCTCTTTAGGATTGAGTTTACTTTTCAAAGGGAGTCAGAATACTAAAAGAGGCAATGTATTGACCTTTAATTTGGAAGCAAACAATGTATGTCATGAGGTCTGAACCAAGATTTTTCGTAAATAATTTATGGTATGGTCTTCATTTATGTAATCAAACTACAAGCATGAGTCTTTTAGACAAATAAGTACAGTAAATTCTCAACTATGTGCTTGTTTCTAGGTGAATGAGGTGGTGCTTGTGAAGAACAATTTGATCGCTAGCACTTTTACTGTCAAAGTAGGTAAAGACAAATTGTTTACGTTCATTTTTCTCTACAAACTAATCACAGCCGCAACTCCTTCCAATGATTGTAGCTGAAAATGAATTATGGGAGGACTATGGTATAGGAATGCAACGGGACCAGATCGCAATATAAGGCAGCATTCACAAGCTTTGCCTCGACCCAAATCCCAAAATCACCATCGCGTGTTTCAGTTGCAACGCAATCTTATCTGTGTGGATAGAATGCAAACCTGGGCATGCATTAGGGCAGCTAGCCGCCCCACAATCACACTCAAAGTAAATAAGAATTAAATGCCCAAAGAATTTACTTTCTCTGTGCTATTCTTGAGGTCAAGAGATATAAAAAACTGTTTCAATCATCCGATGACTTGTAATCTTGATCCTCGGGTCACAAAACTGAACTTGGAGAAGTAAAACAAGCGTAAAGTATACAGAGATGAGATGAAAATGGAGTAAATGGGGAAAATGGAGTAATCTTTCCTGCCAAAAAGATGTTAGGGCTATCTTATTCCATGAGTCACAGGATGACTTAAAGATGGGCTTAAGGAAGGAGAAGTGCCTCCACCTCCATTAGATGTCTTAAGCAGTCATTTCCAAAGGTAATTCCAACCTTGAGACGCGTAGCACAGGCCGTAGTTAGGCAGGATCTCCTTACATTTACGTAGTTGCCCTATTTCGGAAAGATATTTGGGAAGATAAATTGCCACCCATTTCTATTAAATCTTCCGACCACTATATTTTCAGCGTTTGTTCTTGGTATGCCCAACTTTCTGCAGTAGTAATCTGGATTTTTCGGATTTAGGTTATGGAGACAAAGGTGTGATCCAAATGCAACGGTCTCTCCACCAGGAGGTTCGCGTAGACACGAGAAATAACCTCGACCCATAATTACAAAGACAATGTCTCTGTGATGTAAACTGTGCGCCTTAGGCCTTCAATGCGTCAAAATATTTAAAGAGAAAATAAAAGTAAGAGAAGAATTTTATGCAGCAACTGAAGGGATATCTGACTGTTTTAGAAGTAGAATCGCAAAACATTTGGTGGATTTAATGCACAGGTTTTATGTGTAGTGTGATAAGATATG